AGTCGCCGCCGGGGCTCGCTCCCTTGGCCGGGAAAGGGAGGCCACTTGCAGGGGCTCGTGGAGAATCGGGTCCCTGAGTACAGACTCCGAGCCTGGCCCTGCGCGCTCAAGTCGCCAGGGGTGTGTCTGGGGCGCAGTATAAATGCCGGGACTTGGGCACTGGTCACGAGGGGAAGGTTGAGAGTTGCACGGAGTTGTTTTTCTTGAAGTCTCTCGTGTCCTGCTTAGGTTGCAGTGTCGCACAGCACCTCCTTTACGGACGATGCCTTGAAACGGTGTTGTAATATTGGTTGCTTATGCCATAAGTTGCAAAAATGATAGCTGTGTTTAATTGCTTTTAAAACTACAGCGATTCTAATTGCGTAGGATTATTTTGGGAATCACTTCTATCTCGGCAGTGCCATCACTCCAAACACTAAAAAAAAAAAAAAAGAAGAAGAAAAGAAAGAGAGTTTTCAGGGACCGGTGTGTTTCCAAGATCTGTGCTTATTATCTTTAGAGTGCTTCGCTATGTGCACGGAATTAATTGCATAGGCATCGTGCCAGATGCTAGGAAACAGCACACTCTAGGGATACAGATGAATAAATACAGGAAGGAAATCTGCCCTGAAATGGTTTTTAAAAATCACTACCACTGGTGGGGAATTTAAAGAGATAACCGCCCTGGCCGGCTTGGCTCAGTGGGTAGAGCATCAGCCTGTGGACTGAAGGGTCCCAGGTTCGATTGTGGCCAAGGGCACGTGCCGGGGTTGCGGGCTCGGTCCCCAGTGGGTGTTGTGCAGGAGGCAGCTGATCAATGGTTCTCATCATTGATGTTTCTATCTCTCCGTCTCTCTTCCTCTCTGAAATCAATAAAGAAATACATGTTTTTTAAAAAAGAGATAACCTACAAACTGTGCTTCGTGGTGGTAAATAGCGACAGTGCAAGGCAATATGACTTCTAAGAGGTGATTCCCTAAACATGGGTCTGTTTACGTTAGTAATATTTTTATAGGGGAAGATGAACCCGTGATTAACAAGTATTGGAAAGACTGTTTCCTCCAACAAGCTTGTTCTCAATGTTGTCTATGAGGGTATAATGTCCTGTAAGAAGTTTTTAAGCCCTTATTTCCCCTCACCAGTTTTCTAGCTACTATTAAGATTTTACTTATTTATGTATGTATGTATTTAACTGATTTGAGAGAGAGGAAAGAAGAGAGAAACATCGAACCCGCAACCTGAGTATGTGTCCTGATCAGAATTGGAACCATAATGTGTGAACAGCCTCCGACCAAGTGAGCCACACCGGCCAGGGCGCTACTATAAGTTTTTTGCTCATGATATATAAATATATATATATATATATATACACACACACACACACACACACACACATACATATACATATATACACACACACACACACACATACATATATACATATGAAATTCTGAGAACACTTAAAATTAGTTACTGCCCTAACCGGTTTGGCTCAGTGGATAGAGCGTTGGCCTGGGGACTGAAAGGTCCCAGGTTCGATTCCGGTCAAGGGCATGTACCTTGGTTGCGGGCACATCCCCAGTAGGAGGTGTGCAGGTGGCAGCTGATCGATGTTTCTCTCTCATCAATGTTTCTAACTCTCTATTCCTCCCCCTTCCTCTCTGTAAAAAAATCAATAAAATATATTAAAAAAAAAAATTAGTTACTATAGTAACTAAATAACTCCTGTTAATAATAACCTGATCCAAAAGCGTCACTTACTCTTGCCCTCTTATAACTACTCATTCAAGGAAAGTGCCTACAATTAATAAATTGTTCCTAAAATTCCAGGTAAAGCAGAGACATACCATAGGAAGAAAAAGCTGGCACTAAGAGTGAATATTATACTGAGTGGATAACAATGTTTTGTTCCATTCCTAGAGAAAAAAAGGGGATACTGAAGAAAATGTTAAAACTTGTAAGAACAACTAGAGGCCTGTGCATAATTTTTGTGCACGGGTAGGGTCCCTAGGCCTGGCCTGCGATCAGGGCCGATCTGTGGGGTGACCGTTGGGCCCCCCACTGGCACCTGCCTTGGCCGGCCTGGCGCCACCCACTTGCTGGCCCCGCCTCCTGCCACTGCTGCCAGTGGCTGCCCTCAGCGGGATGATTGGAGGGGCCCCCTGCTCTCACCCGCCTTGGCTGGCCTGGGGCCTGCTGGCTGGGGGCAGCTCCTGAGTTGAGTGTCTGCCCCCTGCTGGTCAGTGCTCATCATAGTGCCCGGCTGTACTGCCATTTGGTCAATTTGCATATTAGGCTTTTATTATATAGGATGTTGTAACTTATGCTGGAGTGATTATGGCTATGAAAATTCCAGTTTAAGTTCTGGAAAATATTATCAGGCATTATTTTTAAAAGTTAACCATGTGTTTTAATGTTTCCCATAGGTAATTCCAGTTTTTATATTTTCTTTGTGTCATTCTAAATTGTGGGATGACACAAGTATGGGATGAAGCATCTTGGCATGTGTTAGGAACCTTATTCTGAACTTAGATTGAAATATTAATATAGATGTTTGCTATCTGTGTTTCAATCTAAATGAAAACTTTTGTATTCTCTGAGGTGAGGCCTTTGCTTGAGATGTATTAGTTCCTCTCTTGTCTCCCTTCATAGAAGTCTTAAAGCATTCCAAGATTATAGGAGATCTGCCTGAATGTGGAGACTTGTAGTCTAGGAATATTCCCAGGCCTAATCCTACTATGAGGGTTCCTCAGGTTGAAACCATTTCAGAGTTCTTTCCATACTAGATTAGTCATAGATGCCCAAGCTCAGACAGCAAAGGATATTTGCTTACTTGTCATGTCTACCATTGTTTATAGCTTAACATTTTAGTTGATGTTGAGGATTCGTTAATTTAACAAGCTTTTATTTTTTAAAAAATATATTTTATTGATTTTTTTATAGAGAGGAAGGGAGAGGGATAGAGAGTCAGAAACATCGATGAGAGAGAAACATCGATCAGCTGCCTCCTGCACCCCCCCCACTGGGGATGTGCCCGCAACCAAGGTACATGCCCTTGACCGGAATCGAACCTGGGACCTTTCAGTCCGCAGGCCGACGCTCTATCCACTGAGCCAAACCGGTTACGGCTAATAAGCTTTTAAATTTGACAAGATACGAAGAAAAAGTATTTGGCACAATAGACAATGGGGGCTCAGGAAGACTATATTCTCTTTAACAAATATGTTTTGGCATATTTTTGTTTTTCTAGAGGGAGAAGCAGTGTCTGACTTTATTTTCTCCCATTTAACAGCTTGGTCTACTTTGTATCTTGTGTGTGCTTTTTAGTAAGTTTTATTGATTTGAGAGAGAGAAAGAGAAATATGGATGTATTGTCCCACTTATTCTTTCATTGGTTGATTCTTGTATGTGCCCTGACTGGGAATCGAACCCCCAACTGACCAACTGACCTACCTAGCCAACTGAACGACCTGGCCAAGGCTTCAGTAAAAATTTTAAATGACATGAGCAGAAAGCCTTCTAACCTCAATGAATTTATTTTATTTTATATATAGTTATTGATTTCATAGAGGAAGGGAGAAGAGACAGTGGCTCTGTGGTTGAATGTTGACCTCCCAGTTCATAGCCAGCCGGGCTCAATTAATTTAGAATATAGCACCCAGTGTTTGTTTTTTTTAACATGTGCTTAAGTAACTATAGCACAAAGTAGATTGAATGTTATCGAATTAAAAGAATTATGGCTGCCAGGCCAGTTATTTTGTAGAATTTCCTTCAGTCCACAGGCCAATGCTCTAGCCACTGAGTGAAACCAGCAAGGGCCATCTT